GGGGAGCCTGCTTCTCCCTCTCCTTCTTCCCCTTCCTCTCTCTCTCTCACTATCTCTGTCTCTCTCTCTCAAATAAATAAATAAAATCTTTAAAAAAAATAAAAAAAAAAAATAAAAAACACTTTCACTGAAGCGTATTATGCACACCAGAAGCTGTCTCTGCCAGAGAAGTGAACCGCTGCATGAGCTCTCAGGCTGACGAGCCCACGTGGCCAGCAGCAGATGGAGCAGGCACCTCACCAGCTCTCCGGGGGCCCTCCTGTGCGCTCTCCCACCCCTGCACCCCTCCCTGGCGGCACTCGGCGTGTGCACTGAGCAGCAGACCACCAGGGCACTGAGGAGGCTCAGACTGTCACTCTTCAAGACAGCAGCTGCAGGGAGGGGCAGGGGTGGTCCTGGACCGCGTCCCAGGAGCTCACCGTGGCTTTGGGACAGACAGTGAAGCCCCACCATTAGAGGCGCCCGCGCCCCGGAGGCAGTCTGTTTCCATGCCCGTGTGGCCTGCCCCTCAGCAAGAACAGACCTGCCGCAGGAGGGACAGGACCCCATCCGCAGCCTGTTCGCACGGCTCTGCTCACGGCTTATTTGGGGTAGTGTGCCTGTACAGAACTCTCAGCTCGCTGGGAATATAGATGTGTTGTTTTTTGCTTTCTGCTGTAAGTGTTGTAATTTTATGTTCTGGTGATCTTTGTTTTGAATTCCTATTTCCTTCCATTTTTAGGTTCCAATATTGAAGCCCATGGATCTTATGGTAGAAGCAAGTCCACGACGAATTTTTGCAAATGCTCACACATATCATATAAATTCCATTTCAGTAAATAGTGATCATGAAACATATCTTTCTGCAGATGACCTGAGAATTAATCTATGGCATTTAGAAATCACAGATAGAAGTTTTAGTATCCTTCATCAGATGGCTGTCTTGGCATCATTCATAGGTTTGTTCTTCAGGGAAGTTCTCAGTGCATGTGTGTTTCTGCATCTGAGTCTGCACCTCGAAACATGGCTTGCTGCGTGGTAGCCTGTGGTGTAAGTTCTCTGATTTAACGTGTCCCTAAGAATGGAAACTGCTTTCTACCTTTGGGGAGAGTTCCCTACAAAATGAGAATGACCTCAAGCCCATTGCCCTCCCAGGTTCGTGAGAGACGATTTTACATAGTGAGTATCTGGAGGTTCGGTGTTGCCTGGTCCCTTGCCCCCAACACAGACTGGCTAGTAGATACTAGAATAGAAGACATTGACTTTGGTTAGAGTGGTGGTTAGTTACACAGCCCGAGGAGTGACTGATCATGTGAATTCCCTTATAGAAGACAAGCTGTTAAGGAATATTCAAACCTTCATCTCTCTCAAGAAGGCTACAGCGGTATGGTTACCGTTACAGTGAAAATCTACATGCGACTGGTTCTTCGCTCATGTTAAAAGTTGTTGATTTCTCCAGAAATGAGAGCCCTGTCTTATGTGCACATCGAGGGGCATCAGTCAGGATTTCCCATGTTTGGGGGCGATGTCGGGCCGACCAGAGTGGCACAGATGTCCTCGGGTCGCTTGGGCTGCAGCCGAGACGGGGCTTGGCATGTGCGCGCACTCCCTTGTACTCAAGAAAACCCATGAAATGAAGTGTATGTGGTGGTTTAAACTCTAGCATTTCACACTGGATTTTTATTGTCTGATGTCCTTGTCCTGCTGTGGTTATGTACTTAATGTGATGACTTAGTTTATGGAAAGAGCATACGACGATTCTGCCATCCGTGTGCGGCGCTTCCGGGACACGAGGCGCGGACCGCGTGCTGACGGCTGCCTGCTGGATCTCCCTCCTCCTTGTGCAGCTTGGCACAGCTTCCTGTCTTCCAGGCTCATGCCCGTGCTCCCTGCTTTCTCTTTATTCTCTTTAAACTCTTACATCTTAAATCCTTCTTTCTTCTATTAGTATGTGACCATTTTGAACAAAATGCAGATAATTCAGAGGAGGTTCTCCCCCCGCCCCGCCCCCCACAAATCCCACCCTCCACAGATAACCGTTGTAGGCAGTTTTTATGTCTGTATTAGGAAGTTTGTGTTTTAAGAACAACGGGGCTCATCCTCTACACGGTGGTAATGAAGTTCCAAGCACTCGGGGGTGTCGGGGGCCCAAGTTCTGCTCGAAGACCTTAATTACATGACGGCCCTATGTCAGCCCAGGCCTTTCTCTTCCTCCGTAAACCCGCACTCCTGCGGTGCCGCCTGCAGTTCTGTGGAACCCGAGAGCCCGTGGTGCAGAGCTGGTAGCACAGGGCCTGGGGCACGTCAGAAAGCCCCTGCCCCTAGCCTCGTCGTTTCTTGACGCATTAGAACCATCTTTCCTGCTTGCAGCTGCAGGATGGGTTGTACGCACTCGGAGCCGTGGACGCAGTGCCCCGGGCCGCTCCGCTGCTGCCCCTCGTGCGCATCTGTGAGCCTCGGTCCGCAGGACACCAGCCTCCATGCAGGCTTTGAGACGTGGGGGCTCCCACTGCCTTGGAGTATTTGTTTTAGCAGAACCCTGGACCCTCTTTAAAATAACTTTTCACATCAGTAAAACCAAAATAAGGCCATTTTTAATTTATGTGATTATAGATGAGTTTAAGTATCTTCTGTTAATTTACTGTCCGTTAGTGTGAATTTTTTTTTACTGTCCTTTGTGATTTTTCTCCTGTTGGAATCTCATCTTTTTTCTTCATGATTTGTGAGAATTGCAATTCATAAATGATTTGTGTATGCAGTCATACTTCTCGTTGCCTTTACAAAATTTTGTCACACAATCATGTTTTAGATGCCCTTCCTTGTTACCTAGGTTATGAAACACAGAACGCTTTCATATATGTGCTTGTATTTATTAATACAGTTACCTTAGAAGTACCTTTGGTACCCTGACAAGCACTTTGGCAGCAGGTCGTGCTTCTCCCAGAGCCGCAGCCCCCTGTCCTCGCTCAGCTGCGCCTGTCTGCACACGGACAGCCATCCCCTCCGCGCACCTTGGGCTTCTTGCTTCCTGGTTAACTTTGCAGACCGTGCCATGTGTGTGACTGGGGGCGCTGCTCGGTCTGTCCAGGAGCCTCCAGCCCCTCGAGGGCCACGGCCTTGCTGTCTCGTGTCCAGTGATGAGCTGTGGTGTTAGGTTTCTTACTTGTTTCAGTGGAACTGTTCATCTGGACCCTCTTGTTCCATCCCGACCCAAAGCCAAATTCCACTCTTTCCTTGTTTTCTTCAGTTGCGTGGTTTCTCTGCCTGGCAAGCTGTAATGTTAACACTGTTCTAACTGCTTAGAATGAGCTCTTGATGGCAGATCAAGAAAAGATTCTTGAAAAAGCAGAATCTTTTGGAATCTGGCAATTCTCTTGTGTGTGTAATTTATGGATATAGGTATGGGATTTTTGCACAAGTGGCCGCTTGCTTCCTTTTCTTGTTTACATCGTTGAGCTTGTCTGATCTTGCTGGGGATGTCCTCCCGTGGAATGTTCGTGGTCGCGGCAGGACGCAGGCGGTGCGTGCGTGTGCGTGGGCCCGGGCCTGGTGAGGCGCGCGGCGGGTGGTGTGAGCAGTGCGGGGACGCGGCTTCTCCTACCAGGAGCACCTGCTGTGCGTGTCTGCTCGCACCCCTCGCTGCGGGGTGTTGCACACCTGACGTTGGCTTGAATGTGGACTAAAGCCCGCCAAGCGCTCTGCCTTAACTGTGCGCCTCCAGACATCGTGGACATCAAGCCTGTGAACATGGAGGAGCTGACGGAGGTGATCACCGCGGCCGAGTTCCACCCGCACCAGTGCAACGTGTTTGTGTACAGCAGCAGCAAAGGGACCGTCCGACTGTGTGACATGCGCTCTTCAGCCCTGTGTGACAGACACTCCAAGTGTAAGTGCCTGGAAGGGCCGCGATGTCTCCTGTTAATCCTGGTTTCCAGGCTTGAGACCATCTCCAGAGACTTAGCGTTTCTTCTGGTCTCCTTATGCGCATGCAAGCGTAGGACTGGCTTTTGACCCTAAGTCCCCGGGTGGCTCTTTGGTGGCCCATTGCTGGCACCGCGTGGGCCGTGAGGCGTCCCATGGTGGGGCAGCCTGTAGGGTTCCTCCCGCCCAGAATCCCAGGGCTTCATCAGAGGACTCCCTAGCTGGGTCCAGCCGAGAACCATCTGTTGCCTCTACCTCCGTGCATTAGGACCTCGGCTGAGGCTGCCAGAACGCATCTCACCCGTGACGGTTCTCGGCTGTCGGGATGGGCTCTGTGCGCAGTGAGCTGTGCTGGACTTGGGCCAGTTCCCTCGGGCCAAGCTCTAGCGCTTTAATCCTCTGAGCCTTGGTTTCTTCTAGGTGAGGAAAGTTTTGTTTTTATGTTTAGCCATAAAGAATAGGCCCGACCTTAAAGGAAACCGGAAGTGTGTGTGTCGTGCATTAGGTCCCGTGGTGGGGACTGGACTGTGTACTGGGAACTCTGCTCATGGGTCCTCACAGTCCGTTGACAGGTCAAACCAGCCTGTCCGAGGAAGTACCTTGGATTTCACTTCCTGTGACACTTCTCTCGTCGGTGAGATCCGTTCATGGATCGTTGTGTCCGCAGTGTTCCCCGTAGGACGTGTAGCAACGCCAGCGGCGCCTGGCATTAGATGTGCTGCGCTCACCAGTCCTGCCTTGCTCTCATTTTTCTGCAGCTAACTGTGTTTTAGAGAATTCCTCCTATAGGACTCCCGCAAGGAAGAGTGAGCCTCGTGTAACGTTGGCCTGTGTCTTTCAAGAGAATATTCTTTTGTTGTTGCTGTTGTTGTTTATAGTAATCTACACCCAACGTGGGGCTTGAACTCAAAACCCCAAGATCAAGAGTGGCACGCTCCACCAACTGAGACAGTTGGGGGCCCCTCAAGATAATGTTCTTGAGTAAACCATTTTAGATACCAAAAGTAGTTTTTGTCAGGAAAATAGTTTGAGTAAATGCTTGGTATTGCCACTGGCTTGCTTCAAATTAACTTCAAATGCAGAACCAAGAAACATGGGTTTCTACATTAAAAGAAAAACTAAAGCAGTTTAAAATGAGGAAGTACTCACTCGAAGTTTCCCGAGCTGAGGGCATGATGGTGCGATCAGGCGTCTGGTGGAGCCTCTGAGGTCCCTACTGCGGCGCAGGTGGAGGGCTATTGAGCTTCTTAGAAAGCAAAACCTGTAGGGGAAAGGAAGATCTGCTAAAGAAGCATCTGGGATCTTTCTAAAAGTAGTAATTCGGTTTTGTTATGTGGAGCTTGACTCCTGAACAGCAGAGACAGACCCCTTTTCCTGACGGGCTTCGGTATATGGGACCATTCTGGAGGTTACAGTCTGGACCCGGTGTTCCCAGGTGACGCCGCTTCATCATCCCATGATATGGACGGGACAGGTCTGCACGTGGCTCGCCAGGGCCTGGGCTGCTCAGACTCGCAGGTGTTTGTGTGGTAGCAGCCTGTGGTCAGCACGGGGGTTCTTGACCAAAAGGCACGTGGGAGTGCCCTGAGGGGCTTTTTCCAGGCCGCAGCCCGGGGCCTCAGGCACGGATGTAGTGCTCCAGAGTCTGAGTGAGATTGGGGGGCCTGTGTTTCTGATGCTGTCCCTTGGCAGTAACTGGCACTGGGACGTTTCATCTAAGTCTCTCAAGCTCAGAAGTTGAAGGCCAGAAAACATACTGAGATCAGAAAGATCAGAAGCGTGAGTGGTGTGCAGTCTGCAGCCCCCAGGGAGGGCCTAGGGACTTGAATGTGGTTTGTTCTCTCGGTTTGTTGTTTTGTGAAGGTTTTTTGCTTTGTTTTGTTTTTGTGGTTTTTGGGGGGTTTTTTTTGAGAGAGAGAGTGAGCGGGGCGAGGGGCAGAAGAAGATGGAGAGAGAATCCCAAGCAGACTCTGCGCTGAGCGCAGAGCCTGACACAGGGCTCGATCCCACAATTCTGAGATCAGGACCTGAGCTGAAATCACTTAACCCAACTCCGCAACCCAGGCGTCCCCACGTTAAACAGAAGCTGAAAACTTTGTTTTTTTCAGTTTTTGAAGAACCTGAAGATCCCAGCAGTAGGTCCTTCTTCTCAGAAATAATCTCCTCCATCTCCGATGTAAAATTCAGTCACAGTGGTCGGTACATGATGACCCGAGACTACCTGTCGGTGAAGGTGTGGGACCTCAACATGGAGAGCCGGCCCGTGGAGACCCACCAGGTGAGGCCGCTGCGCAGGCCTGGCCGCCACACCTGCGCACAGCGCTTTCTAACCTTCCTGTGCTTTCGTTAAGGTCCACGAGTACCTGCGGAGCAAGCTTTGTTCTCTGTATGAAAACGACTGCATCTTCGACAAGTTCGAGTGCTGCTGGAGCGGTTCGGACAGGTAGGGCGCGTGTCGTGGTGGACCGGCCCTGGACGCAGGGGGGCTGCCTCAGGGGGCTGCTGGGTTGCGCTCTCCAGGCCGCCTGCCTGCCGAGCGGCAGGTTCCAGGTGGAGACGACAGGGCGTCTGAGCAGCTGTTCCCTCGCTTAGGTCCCATCTGTATTCAGACAGTACACGTGGCACTAAGGTTCTTTTTGGTGGTTTTTAAAATGTTTTTAAAATATTTTCAAAATACATGTATTTTTTGTATTATTTCCAAGATGAGTGAGAAGGAAGGACGTGGGGTAATGATTTACCACTAAGCATGTGGAGTGGCCGTGTTCCAGTTTGCCATTTCCTCTGGAGGGAACAAGAGGGGGAAACGCCCTCCGAGTTCGCTGGCGGTTGTGCTCGAACAGCAGGTGGGGTGGCTGACGTGAAGTCCTGGTGGCCTCTAGGAGGTGGCATCTCTGGTGTCTTGGTAGTTTATTTCGTGCACATTCTCTGAGGAGGGTAATAACGGCAGTATTGCTGAGGGCCATGTCTTCGATCTCAGACAACACAGTGCATTTCTGTTGCTGGAAAGAGACTGTCCCCCCATCGTCCCTAGTAGAAAGGTGAGTCAGGTAGGGCCTCCCTGTGGGACATGAGTGGCAGAGGGCCTGCGCACGTGGTCATTGAGCACACACATAAACGAGGGAGAGTGCACGAGGGCCAGGGTGAAGAGGGGGCGGGAAGCAGAAGGCCGGGGAACCTGGGTCACTGGGCTGGCCTGGGAGCATCTGGTCCCAGGACCCGGCTGGCTGGGTTTCACAGCAGAGGGCTGGTGCACTTAACAGCCTTGGGTCCACACGCAGTGAGACACTCCAGGATTATGGAAAAGGCATCATCCATCTGCGTCCAGATGGGAGTCCCAAGGGAAACGTGTCTGACACCTTAGGGGGTAGGGGAAGCCTAAAAATCCCCTGAGATGTGGAACTGTCAGCCTGCCCTCCCTCCCAGGATGTGGAGTTTGTGTCTGGACTGGCTCCATGATCTAGAAAAGCTAACGAGGAGTCAAGCACTACGGGGCAGTCAGGGCTCTGGGCATCAAGAGGAGCAGACTGCTTCGGATCCAGGCTTTTACCTTCTTGACACACCGACTGCCACCTCTTTGCGCGTCGTGCACGCTGCGGCAGACAGGAGCCTCCTGGAGCAGAGGCAGCACCGGACTCCGGCCCTGCGAAGCAGTGTGTGCTTTATGCGGTCATCCGTTTCCCAGGCCCCCCAGCAGCAACACCAGGGGCCTAGGCAGTGCCACATGAGCAGTGGGTCTGGGGTCACAACCAGCGCACCCTGAGCTTCTGCAGAGAGGTGTACGCACGCCCGTGCTTGGACACTGCAGGGCCCTGACGCTCAGCCCAGCGAGAGAGCACTCGGCAGTCACACTGTCGGCAAACCCACTGAAAATCTGGCCGTGTGCCTCTCCCGTTACACCCAGGACTCGGGATTTCCCCAGATTAAAGTCCGTTAAACATAAGCGTACAGGTAAAAAGTACCAACCACGTACCCATAGGAAAGCTACTGTGAACAAGTCAGAAACAGCAACAAAACTTAACCTCTGAGGATTCAAATACTGGAACCGTAAGTTGCAGAGTATAAGATACGAATGCTGAAAATATTTTCGGATTAATGGAAGGAACCATAAACAAGACCCCTAAAAACGACCTGGGAGGTTTGTCAGAGACTCAGACAGAACTTTTAGAAATGAAAAACACAGTGGTTGAAAATCACTGTGGACTTGGTAGGAGATCCAGAGCAGCAAGAGAGACCTTGGGTTAGTGAACTGAAGAACATTGGGGGTGCCCAGGGCGCAGCGCGGAGTGGCTGGTGGGACCTGAGAAAGGTCAGGAGCACCCTGCGGGGATGGGGGTGGGGCCCACACAGCAAAATGTGGAGGCGTGCCCAGGAGGACATGGACACGGCCAGGAACTTTCTGTAGCTGACGGAAGACTGAGCACACGGATTCAGGAAGCACAGAAATCGACATCTGTGTCAGAATGAAATCACGGGGCACCAGAAGCAAAGAGAAGATCTTAAAAGCAGCCATGGAAAAACTGACACACTACTTTGGAGAACGGACGGTCAGGCTGAGCGTGGCCTGCTCAGCATAGCAGACACACAGAAGGTGGCGTGACGCAGCGCCTTGTGCTCGTTTCAGCGTGCTGGGACAAAGCTGCTGTCAGCCTGGGGTGTGTGTTGAGACAAGGATCACTCAGAACATGTGTGCGATAAAGGTGCTTTCAGATGGAGAGCAGTTCACCCTGATGGGAGCTCACGAAACAGATCTAGAGGGTGCGCTTCTGGGAAAGGACGCAGACTCAGAAAGCAGGTGTGAGACCTCAGGGAGGCAGGCAGCCGTCGCTGGCCCCGGCCCTGCGAGCAAAGCTGAGGAATGTTGACTCTGAACGATACTGATTTGTCTAAATTGGTTGTCTGTGTTGGGGGGACAGGTTATAGCTCTCCCTCAGCCAGAGTAAATAAGCTCTGAGTGTTGCAAAGACTGGGCCAGAGCCGTGGGAGAGCACCGCCCGCATGCGGGACACTACGGACTTCTTAAGCTCCAGATCCAGACGGTGAAGAAAACAGTAGGAACTTCACCTACATTTACATGGTAAACTTTTTTATACTGGAATACAACAATAAAAATGAAACCTGCAAGAGCAGATATAACTGGCAAAGAGAGAAGTATCCAGAATATGCAAAGAATTCTTAGTCTATAGGAAAGTGACAGCTCATAAATGGGAAGAAAATGGATAAAAATGCTCGTCCTCAGTAGGGGTCAGCAGGTCAGACCAACCGGGATGCCCTCTCAGAGCTTTCACAACCACGGGGATGTCAGGCTGAGGGGTGGGGGCCAGTGGCCTTGACCGTGGCCCTTTGGAGACTGGCAGCGGCCTGCGTGGGTCAGGAACTTCATGCACATACAGGTAAGAAAACATGTTCAGAAACAGGAACTAGCGAACCCCTGAAGGAGCCCAGTGTTCACCATCGGGTGAGTGAACAAGGAACTTGTTGTCTGTTCATAACCTGCAATACTAAGAACCATAAATGATCTCACAAGGATAAAGAGCAAAGAAAGCGTGTTGTTGGAAGAATATGATTCGATGATTTCTGTGTCATCTAGAACGTACAAGATGGTTGCGTTTTTAAGAATGCGTAACTGTTCGAGATGTAAACATGTACGGGAATGATCCTCCCCTACTATAAGACTGTCTGTCCCGCTAGGGGCCCAGGGTGGGAGACTGGTCTTTCTAGACCGAGCTAGCAGTGGCTTATGGGTAGATGGGCAGTCACTGTATTTTTTTTATGCTTGGTATATCCAAAATACTGAAAAATGCCCTTCCATTACCCATCCCCAGGAACATCCGACAGCTTTCCAGTCACAGTTACCTGTTCTTTCATCTCTGCAAACGCTCCCCTCCCTTCTTGCCAGGGAGCACCTGTTGAGGGATGGTGTGACGTGGGGCCGGGGGGCAGGGTGCGAAGGGAGACCTGCACTCTGCCCGGGACCGTGCAGTCATGTGGCACTGCTTGGCTGTGCTCAGGTTGTCTAGCAGAAACGGACATAGCCACTTGCTCCTGGGTCCACTTTGCCACCAGGGGACAGGATGCCACCTGGCCAGGTGCTTGGGAAGGTGGTCATTTGTGTGGTTTGGGTCACTGGACCAGTGCAGTGGGAACGCCGACCTCCCACCTCCCGTGCGGCCGTGGCGGTCAGAAAATCCAAAGAAATAATGAGTCTGTATTGAAGTTGGTCCGCTTTCATTTTTACCAGGCACCAGCAGTTGTAATCAGTGCCGATAATAAAATAGCATCTTCCTGAAAGAATCTTACCGGTCTGTGTTCTGAGGAATTGTGGCGAGTTCAGTTAAGTTTGAGGAGCGTGGACGGAAGCTCCACGTGGGCGCGCTTCCTGCTCAGCCTTCCATGGACGTCGTCTGGCCCACGAGGCTGAGCCGGAGAGCGCCCTGGGCTCCCGGCGTTCGAGAGCAGAAGCGGAATAAGGGTAGCTGCGAGTAGTCTTCTGAGTTGATCCTGTTTTCTGGGTGCAGTGTAGTCAGACCATGATGAGGGGTTTGCCCGCAGTCAGGGTCAGCCACTAGCCATGCCTCGATGAGACAGGAGGCCGTGGGCTCCTCGGAGGAGGAGACTGCAGGGAGCTGCCGGGACCGGGCCGTGCCGCCAGCAGGATCCGCCCCGTCCGCGGGGCAAGGTCTGAACCCCCTCCTTGTCTGCGGTGGCCACGGGCCAAATCATGGCAGCACTTGCTGAGAGCCATTTTCCTCTCAGTTTTGTAGAAAAAGACCAGAAGTTTGTACCAGTATAACAAACGTTTTCGACTATAGAGACGGCGGAAGCCATTAGAATTAATGCTGGAGAAATGAGACCGTGGGCAGCACGGCAGCATCTGAGACCCTCACTAAGGTCTAGGACTTTTCCCCTTTGTGTTCTTGTTGCTTCCTGTGAAAGAACTTTTTGACATCAAAATGAATTAAAAAGTATTCTTTGAGCTACTGTGTGTTGTGCTGGGAGAAGTCTGACTAATGTCCACTGAACACAAACCAACTTTGAATCATTGACAGAGTTGGAAATGTTCAAGACCTGAAAATAAATCAGTTACTCATGGCTGGGACAGATGACTGTGTCGGGTTTTTTTACTTTTTAAAAATGCATTAATGTGGGGCGCCTGGCTGGCTCAGTCAGAAGGGCACAGGACTCTTGGTCTCCGGGGCATGAGTTTGAGCCCCATGTTGGGTGTAGAGATCACTTAAAAAAAAAGCGTAAATAAAAGTGTGGCTATTCCTTTTTTCCTTTTCTATTCTGTACTGTATATTTTTGCTGACATGATGGCACATAAGCAGTTCAGGAGGAAATTTTCATTGCATGTCTCTCCTGACCGTTCTTACTGTTGTTTCTTATTTCTAGAAATGGTCTTGTCAGGTAGAGGAGGGGTGAGGAAAGGTGACCCCGCTGGGCGTCCAGGGCGCTGGGCCCGCGTGCGGCAGGGGTGTTGAGCGCTTCGTCCTTGACAGGCGTTACTCTCTCTTCTTGTCTTGAGCAGTGCGATCATGACGGGGTCCTACAACAACTTCTTCAGGATGTTTGATCGGAATACACGGAGGGATGTCACGCTGGAAGCTTCCCGGGAGAACAGCAAGCCTCGAGCCAGCTTAAAGCCTCGGAAGGTGTGTACAGGCGGTAAGAGAAAGAAGGACGAGATTAGTGTGGACAGTCTGGACTTCAATAAGAAGATCCTGCACACGGCCTGGCATCCGGCGGAGAACATTATCGCCGTGGCCGCCACCAACAACCTGTACATCTTCCAGGACAAAGTCAACTAAGGAAGCCAGCACGGGGACTGAGCCCGGCTGTCTTCTCCAAGGAGGGGCGCATCCTCCTCCCTGTGAGGAGCAGCAAGGCGCTGACCGCTCCCCCTCACAGACTGGAGGGGCCGGCCTTCTGCCTGCGGTGAGGCGGGCCGGGTCGCTGCTCCGCGGAACACCCACTCACCCACTCAGCGCAGCATTGGTGGACAGTGCTCAATAATGGCCATTACTCAGAATAAATGTATTTATTTCAGTCTGAGCCTTGCTCTCCAGTTTGTAGACCAGAAAGTTAACACCCAAGGGAAAAGTTGTCTGATGGAACATCTCTCTCTCTGCAGCCTCCCCCCCCCC